TTAGCCGCCGTCTACAATATCCGCACTGTTTACTTAGCCGTCTATAATATCCGCACCGCCCGCTTAGCCGTCTACTATATCCGCATCGCCCCTATTAGCGTAGGCATAAGCTAATACTTAACTATCTCTCCTATTTATCCTTAACCTATAGGCGCCGCTAAGGAAATATAAAATGCTTTAAGGCGGTAATTTAGTTTTCCAGCTCTAGACTAAGTGGACTTTAGGGCTAGCAGGTAGGCCGTTAATTAAAGCTCTTAATCGCTGCTAGGGGGCACGCTAGCAGGTTAATAGTAAGGCTATATTCTATAGCCGTCGCTATAGAATTATTAAGGATATAAGACGGCGCGTAGAAAACGGTACGGCAAGAGATAAGAAATAGGCTATTAACTAGCTAAAACAGCTACAAGGCCGGCATTCTTTAGATTGGCTTTATAAGAATATCTAAGGCAAAGGAGGCTCCCTCTTAAGTAGTAGATAATACCTATTTTACTATAATAACCAAGACGCCTTAATGTAGGACTATACTAGTAACCGAGACGTCTTAATATAGGACTGTACTGCAGTAACTAAGACGCCTTAATATATAACTGCACTGCAGTAACTAAGACGCCTTAATACAAAACTACACTATAGTAACTAAAACGCCTTAATATACGACTGCACTGTATTAACTAAGACGCCTTAATATAGGACTATACTATAGTAACTAAGACGTCTTAATATAGGACTACATTATAGCAACTAAGACGCCTTAATATAGGAATAGAGCCCGTTTAGGTGTTGTAAATTTAGAGTAATATTACGCGACCATCCAGAAGTACCGATCTAACACAAATTATGTACCTTTTCGCCCAAAATCGCGTGCGAAAGTACTCGGGGGCGGTCGCTGCGCGACCTCGTGCGGGGTTCGGGCGCGTTATCAGCAGGGGTAGGCCTAACCTCGTATTAACCCGGGTCGTAACCGCGCCAAATCAGCCCCCCCGATATGTGATAGATATTCGCGGGGTCAGATTGCTGCAATTGGTGGGCTACGTTGGATGTTTCTCTTTCCGTTGTGGGTCACGCGTTGTTCGCTCTCCGCCAACGTCAAGGCAAAGGCGGTAGAAGCAGGTGGGGCTGAAAGCGGAAAGAGGCAGGGTCAAAGTGGAGACGCACTAGAGGGGCAAAGCGGAAGATCTGCACGCCATAAACCTAATCAAGATTTCCGTTCAGCAGAATCTCAGGCATCTCCGCAAATCTAGATGACCGAACTCCCCGGTTCTGCAAGTGAGCCCGTGCGCAATCAACACATCAACCTTAACCAGCCCTTTCGACCCTATCAAGCCAACCCATCAACCCATTATACCCGTCAAGTCTACCACCCATCGGTCCACCAGCCGCGCAAAAGTATTTTGACCTGTTCGAAGGGATTCTCCTTCAGAATCTAGAAGCAAAAACCGGGCCCGTGAGAAATCATTGATATCGCTAGGCTCTTGCCACCTATTGCTTAGTAGCATGATATTTCGTAGACGTCGCGACAAAGTATGAAAATAATATTCCGCATTCTACATCCCTTTTCAGCCCATCCTGCCCTTCTCGGCTATGCAAAATGTAGTTTTACAGCTAACAACTAGGAGTGCATGAAGCCTCTTTTTCCCTGCATAATTGAAAGAGACCAGGCAGTCTGCCATGAAGCTCCATGGGAAACGAGCACACCAAAAGACGGCCAGGCCCCCAACGCCCGAGACACAGAGGAAGGCCTTCCATACCTCCTGCTGCACACAGCGAAAATGTGATATGCAGGTTGCTGTCCACGTATCGCTGCTCAGGAGCTCATGCAACGTACAACATGCAACATTTCACAATGGGAGTCGGGCCTTATTCATCGAGGACCAACAAAATAGAACTGCAGCTGAGTGCATGTTACGTGGTAAGGCAAAGCAAAGCTTAGACTTTCGGCATATTTACCACATTTGCTGCTTTTGTTGCTTTTGACGTCTTTTTCCGTCGAGCTGCACAGTGAAGTTGTCACAAGCCCTTGATTCTCATCCGCAGCTCACTGGGCAGCCGCTGCTCTCATCCCTAAATAACAAATAGGGGAAGAAATAAGTGTGAGCTGTCACACGTTGCGAATGCTTATGGCAAATGGCTGCCAATGATCGTAAACACCTGAACTCCTCGGCTTTAGTCAGTGCCTATTTGCTCGTCATCTTATCGGCATCCATCAGTGATTGATGAAAGGGATGCAGTGTAATCATAATTTTTAATCAAATCAGCAAGCTTCTTTTCTAAGAACAGAGGTAGGTACCAATTTCAGGCCTCCCTCATACCTCATCAGTAGATTACTGGTCTTGCAAATGCTCGCGTCTGGTACGTGTCCGGAAGACCCTGCCGACCGCATCGGACGTTATCGCGATTATTTAAACTCACTTCGCAGTGCAGTTACGCTTAAGCTCACTCACTGCAGCAAACGATACGCATACTGCTCGCTGCAACCCCCATTCATCTTCACCATAATACATTTGCCTGCATTAAGACTCCAAGTATCACTAACATGAATGTAAGTCAAGATGGAATATTGGTGATTAGACAAAATCGAAAGCCAGGCCATGGATCTCAAATAAACACCACATGCTGACAGACAGTCTGAAAGTACATGCCTAACTTGAGGGTGCTATGGTTTCCAGCGCTACTTTTGATCTCCGAGCACGCAGCTGCCACAACCACGCCGAGCGGAAATGACTGCTAGCCGGCCGTCACTACTGAAGTTTTCGAGCCCGGCTGGGTACCAGGGCCCCATAATCGCGGCACTCTCGGACTCATCTTCAGCTGCGTCATAACACTCTCCCTATGCATCTGGACGACAGTACACGTCAACATCGAGCCTGAAAACGAGATCAACAAGACCTTAGACCGTGTTTTGAAAGCAATCTTTGGATCCGAAGTAGAAGAACCCTGGGTTAATGAGAAGCTTGAGGCATTTCTGGCCCGTAAAACAGTCCGAAAAATTGGTTGGAGTTGCATCATCCTCATCGCACCAGAAGGGATGATGGCTATCGCGGCGTACGAGAGGAAGGCTGCTTACATCCTCCGTGACAAGATCAATAAAACCATCGAAAGAGTCTACCCGAGCAACCAGGCATGCGAGCATAAGTGCTTAGTAAAAGTCTACCACGACTTACGCCCACATGCCTGCAACTCAAAATTGCCGGGCAACTCGGAAATAAAGGGATGGGATATCTCGCTGGCATATTACGCTGTCATGGGGGGGTTTGTCATTCCGGAAGCCGTCTATGATACCGCGAAGTCCGAGGAACTCGTCCATGATACCGCGAAGAGGCGAAACAAAAAACTAACCTTGACACCTCACGGAGTCTGGGAAGTGGCGCAATGGGAATCGGAGGATGGAAAGGGACTTAAGCTGCTGTCCACAATCACCGCCGAAGAAGTGCGCGATAAAGGCAACGCCACCACCCTCACTAAAGGTATCGTCATCTCGCAAGTTCTCTGGATTATTGTTCAGGTCATTGGTCGCACCGCTGCTCGTTATCCAGTAACACTGCTGGAGCTCCATACCGTCTTACACACGTTCTGCGCCGTGTCCATGTATATTATATGGTGGTATAAACCCCTTGACATCGAAACCTCGACGACCATCCCTCTCAATTATGAGAGAGACAAGGGATTGGTTTCTTGTTTGGTGAGAGGAACAACCACCCTCGACCCGACTGATCCATTGACGGTTTTCGAAAACCCACCGGGGGGCAAAACTACTAAATCGACCTCCGACCAAAGTCCGTCCACCCACCACGCTGACCCCAAATCTCCGGATATCGAGAAGGCTTCACCTCCAACTGTGGGTGAAGTTATTACTTCTGGCCAAGATTCAATGGCCAGCCGCGCATACCCCACCTCTCTAGACATCGAGAAGGCTTCATCCCCAACTGTTAACGAGGCAAATACCTCCAGCCAAGATCGACCCACCAGCCGTGCTTATCTAACCTCCCGCTCAGGGCTCGGGAAACTCATGTATCAGAGCCTCTTCAACCTCCACGGGAGAAGCCAAGAAGGATATTACTTCGAGGTTATTGACGACGCTTACAAGCGTCTCTCTGACGCACGAGGAAACCTATGGGCTCAAGCCTTAATCATCTCCTTCATTGGGTTGACCTTTGGAGGTGTCCATCTTGCAGCTTGGAACAACAGTTTCCCAAGCTATGCGGAACAGTTGCTCTGGAAGATTAGCGCCGCCATCACCGCTGCGACGTGGTGCTCATTCACTTTATCCTTATCCTTATACCCATCCCTGAAGTGGCTGGAGAAGCACAATCCGGTTTTTGAAACTCTCATTCAATGGACATTCAGGGTTAGCTTTGGGGTCGGGCTCATTCCAGTTCTTTTTGCTAGGCTTTATTTACTGGCTGAGTCGTTTGCTTCAATTCGTAGGGTTCCGCTAGGTTCCTACGAGATTCCGGGGTGGTCAAACGCGTGGCCTCATGCTTCATAAAATAGATTGGCCCAGTACGTCAGTACGGAATTCGAACTTGGACTCGACCCACATTATCTTAGCTAACTGCAATTGATTAATTATGCTGATCATATATTTCTTAAGTTTCTGATATGATCTTACCTAGCTGCTGTAATAAGAACACCTTCGAGATAGGAAAGTCGGACAAGTCGATATGTTTCGGTGGCCGATTTACCTTAAATCCGTATTTCTCGACTTTGATACTGCAGTTTTCTTATCTTCTACAAATTTTTCAATAAGACGTCCTATACAAAAGAAGTTACAACGTAAACCTATCTTTAATAACCACGTCTTATATAGATGATATATATAAAATTTATAAAGAATCTTCTTAAGAAAATCTTTTATATATAAATTATTAAGCCACCTGCTGGTCTTCGGATTCAGCAGAGCCGACGCGGAGACGTCGCACAGCGTGTGGACACCTTCATAACCCCATCCTACGTTTCCCTAACCAAAAAAGAAAGGGACCAACAGGCAAAAAACGAACCGCTACAGAGTGCGAGGATCGAACTCGCGACCCTTCGCGCCACATAAATGTTTATGTAAGGCGAATATCATAACCACTAGACTAACTCTGCTTTGGTTAGAAATAATTTGGAATTGAAAATTAATCATTACTTATAGCACCGCCACATGAGTGGGGTCAGGAATAAACGTAAGCTCATCGAAAGCAGCTCCAACCCAGGGTATTGAATATCTCTCTTATGTAAAATATTGTAATATTTTCAGGTTCCTAGGTGTAGTCGTCTAGCTGTATTGGTTTCATGCCGAAAAAGAAGGAAAATTCTTCCCATCTGCTCAAAAAATTGCAAACGCACTGCAATAGCTGACACTACTATCCCTCGCGCTATCACAGTCACTGCTCCGCTCGTACCTCATGAATTTGAACCTTCCTTTCCCCTTCTCCACTTTATCCTCCTTCTCCAGCGCCTCTATGGCGGCTATAACTACGCCGATAGGGTGGCGCCCGCACACTGTATTCCCAGTTTCATCTAAAATATCCAAGAAACTCTTATGCGAGCCTGTTTCGATCGCATCCATGCACAGGCCGTCTACACGTGCGATACTCTCGTAGATAGGAGGCTGGGTGGGCGCTCGGTCTGACGAGTGGAGGGAGTACGCGGAGCCGGAGTTCGGCTGGTAGTACGTGTATCTGAAGCGGGAGCCCCAGTGGCAGAAGTCAGAGCTTATGATGAAGACGGAGGTGGGATCGGCGAGGTAGGGTGCGAGGATTTGGCCGAAACGGCGCTCGGTGGTTGCGTTAGTCGCACCAATCATTATGGGGATGAGGGGAGGGAAAGACGCGGGATCGGAGAATATCCTGAGAGTCGTGAGAAGCTGTCGAGGGGGCGAGGTGAGGTGAGGCGGTGGGAGGAGTAGTAACGAACCTGCTGAGTGCTTTGTAGATGTATGGGAGGTGCATTTCTAGACTGTGCTCGGCTTCATCTATGGACAGGGACATCTTGTCAAAGGAAGCTTTCTGGTGCAGCTCGGCGATAGTCTGCTTGTCGACTTTGAGATTTCCGAGAGGTGTCTCGTATGTGTCACACTGTGTGAGTGCACATCCGGTGAGATAGTGGTGGTGAGAAGGTCCAAGCAGGAAGACGCGTTTACTGCAAATGATTAGAACTCATGTCTCGAGCAGCTGTAGTAGCTGCGGCATAGGTTGGCTTACGCCTTAGACAGGTCCAAAGACTTGTAAGCCCATGCTGCCGCAGGCCCAGAGTAAGAATATCCGGCATGCCTGCTTTGCCATGAGCTCTCCCATTCAGCTCACCGGCAGTGGACAGTGACGCCTACGGTGCAATAATAGCCCTTGCTCCAGAGGAAGGTAGCTGGGCAGGAGCTTGCTTGGAGGATTCCGTGCCGATACACTTGGTAGTGTCTGGAACTTGGTCAAGCCATTGATCTAGTTGAGCAGAGAGCTCCGATTTCCGCGAAGAATACCACGAGCCGGCGTGGCTGGCGTCTCTGCTGGACATTTTTTTTGCAATAACTGTTGCTAACAGTATATGTTGAAGACCTCTAGGAGCTTTCAAACAAACGAGGGGCACGAGAGCGGGGTTCCGAGAGCTGGGCAGGAGGAATGAAGTAATCGCTGGAGGCCCCACAACGATTGAATCGTCGCAAAATACTAGATATATATTTAGATTGCAGACTTGGAGCTACTCTTGGAGCTACTAAAGTACTCCAGAGGTCTATATGGTCAGTAAATGCAGCAAATATCTCGCTACGAAGTAGGCCGACTCTCTCAAGGAAAGAGTGGAAGACATAGAATACTGCTGTATAATATGAGGCATTCATTACGTATTTGAATGTCTAGTATATCTGTTTAAGTGTCGTTCAGTATGCTTCAATGCCCCAAGCATGAGCCGTCTAGTGTTATGCGTGGTAGTGTGCTTCGCGCACGTGCGGCGTTTTCGCGCGTCGCGTTCCAGCCTCCTCATTTCATCATCGCTACTTCTACCACTACTTCTGCTGCTTACCACTTAACCATTGCCCTTCACAATACACATTACTGCCTTCTGCAATACTGTCACATCTATATCTGTACCCTGTCGCATCACCGTATCGATACTTTAAATATTTCTCATCATGGCTCTAAAAAGAAAGAGATCTTGCTCCAATTCATCCCCAGCTTCGACTTCTAGTTTCACAACGTCTACTTCGCGTGGATCGCAAAGCCCAACTCCAGCCCCACGTCTATTTAATGGGGCAATGGATTTAGAGACACCTATTTCATCTATTCCCGTATTATCGTGGAATATGGACATTGGAAAACTCTCGTCTTTGGATTTGAATAGCAGAACGCGTAAAAGGTTCAGAGACAATAGACCAAACGACAACATTATACATGGTAAAGCGTCACGGAAATCTCAGTCGAGAACGTTCGCTAACAATCAACTTCTAGAAACAACAATGGATAAACTGTTTTCTGCTCAACGGCAGTTTCCCCACGCTGCTCCAATCCTATCGCAGTCTCAACCACTGGTGCGAAGTTCCACCCCAACACAAAAGTCAACATTACATTCCTTCTGGTCATTGCCGCGCTCTCGTCCGCAACCCATTTTCACGCATGCGAACTCATCCTCGGTTTCAAACACGCAGCCCCCACGTTGTGATGATTGCGACGGCGCTCTCCAAGGTGATGGCGAAATGGATATCGACTACGGGGACTCAAGTTCCACAGACCAATTCGAATGCCGATCATGTGGTAGAAGTATCTGCGGGACCTGTGCTGTTGTTGGTGACAACCGGAATTGTTTACATTGCGCGACAATGGGTGCAAGCACGCGGCGAGGCTGGTAAATATACGTTTTGGGACAATCAAATAGGAAATGATTGGCGTCAATGTATGCTGGTACTCTTGTGAGTATTATCGGTTGTTCTGGGCCTGACTGGGTTGGATTAGATGATTGGATGCGGCGCAACGTGTGGTCAGGCGTATGTCAAAGTGGTTTTAATTGATACCACTATTCATTTTCAGAATAGGATTCGGGAGTGCAATTTTTTCGGTTTTGTGTAAGTGCGCTGGTAATGCCTTGACCATGAACTTTAGAGCAATATACTGCTGTATGTCAAGTTTAAGCCCTGTGGACTCTCCTTCAGATTGGGGCCACATCGAAATCATGAAAAGCTAAAATGATGAACCTCTTTGCTATTCAACATCAACTTCAAGGTTGTGAGTAATGCATAATTAATCACTTTCGCCCAGCTTCCAGTGGGTTATTTAAATCACTGTAATCGACATTACAGTAAAACCTCTTTAATACGATACCATTTTTGCAGCCGAGCATATCGTAATACCAATGGTATTGTTATACTAAATAGTCACGTGATGCGTTAATAAGCAGGAAAAGGGAGGCCAACCACCCTAAAAGGGTATAAGCTACTGTATGAGCTAAATAGGGCTCTCCCCATACAAAATCTTATCTGGTTACACCGATTTTGGTAGAGCTACCTTAACGATATCGTCAAAAGCCAGATTATCGTAATATTACACCAAAAAAGGTTTGATCAAGGGGTGTAGATCGTAATGTAGAGGATATCGTGATATACCCCATATCGTATTAAGGGGGTTTAACTGTATACTGACCTGATCAAAAAAACCTAGCAAAGCATAATTTATAAGGGCAGTATGATTACTTCGAGAAAGTAATAGATTTTCTATTGTGAGAAAATCTAATGCTAAAGGAGTTATTCCCCTTCCTCGAGCAACCTTTTAAAGCTCGAGGTTAACTGCAATAAAAACTAGGCAAATAATCGAAGCGTGGAAACTACACATGAGCAACTATTAACCTATGGCCCGCATTGAACATCTTGCGATACGCTAGAGTGATTCTCGAAGGTTTCGTGAAAGGTCTAGAACTGATTTAATATTGAAGAGTGAAGCTGAGAAATCACTACTATTTTGAGAACTTCCGCAGGTAAGGAAATAATTACATAGTACAAAGTGTATTGCGTCTCTTTTTACTGCAGGATAGCGTTTGCATCGCAAAGTTCTGCTGAAGGTGAAGATAAATGGTTCAATTCATGGGATTTCCCGAGGCTCTACGAAATGAAATTTATAAGCTAGAGATCAGCCGGTCAAAAAATCAGATGGAAGACATGGCATTGAGTTCGAAATGAAGTTGCAAGAACTCTGTTTTCAAAATCGGACAATTGAAGTAGTCTCTATGAGAAAATAGCAGCTGGAATCTGATCGAGGCAAGTCAGTCGTCTTGACACGACTTTTCGGGAGAATCCGAATGCATTGAATAACGTAGCAAACATAGACGCTTGTACTAAGTCATCTGCGTGGAGGACTTGGATTCTAATTATTCCAAGACCCATTACCACATCTTAAATGTCCGGAGTTGGTATAGGGGGCCATGGAAAACACTTCCGTTCGCGGGTGCTCTGGATACGTGCGGCGTAAAGCTAAGGGCTTTGATTTCGTAGACGCAGCCGCCTGCAGCCACAATATTATCTTTCGCGGTTCCTCCTCTATTTAAAGAAGACTTCCTTCGGTGTTTGTGTCATGCTCTATTACTGTAGCCTATTAGATCCCATAGCATCTGTGATAAAGTCACCATATCAAAGGCGCGGGAGACTTTATTTGGGCGGGCATGTTACTCTAATGTTATTGGCTGATTGTACTAGCAGATGTAAGGTTCGTATTCCAAGACTGCGGTGCCTGATTTGAAATTAATTTGCCTACAGGGCCCATCTACTCTTCAGCTCCGCCAACTTGCTAAAAAGGTGATGGAACCATTGACTTAGAAATTTCCTAGGAGGAAATTTCAAATTGAGTCTTGATAGCCACAAACTCCCCAGACCAAAGGCGGAGACGAGAGAAAGCCCCATAACGCCCAGGAGTATCCTGCCTTGTCTTCTTGCAGCTTTTTCCACTTCAGAATACCTGTTGTTCCCAAAGCTCACGCGAGAATACTGAGTAGCCCAACCTAGGCTAGGTAAGTATGCGTCCAGCTTCTCCTCGGTCCACTTCCGCAGGCGGTACATAGGGGACCGGACATCACTCCTCATCTCCTGATAGTTTCTCAAAGCAAGGTCATTGATTGACACCGCGTCTGGGGTA